AGGAAGGATAGGTGGCACTCTTGTTATTTTTGGTTGGTCTCCTGAAATAAATCAGTATCTGTACTCTCAGTAAGATTGCTTTTAATAGATTAGGTGCATTGGAGAGAGTTTTTGAACATTGGAAGAGGTTTACGTGTTTTTTTTTTTATATGAACACATACGTAAATTATCTGAGCCTGGGATTGGTTCACAGTACTCTACTGGAAGGTAAAATGTTTTGTTTCTGAAGACCTTAAGAGTAGGTGCTCAGCTGTATAGTAGTGGCTAATATTATATATATTGCTATATTTATATGCAATTTCAGTAGTCCAAGAACAAAATAAAATGCTTTAGGGTTAACTGCTGTTATAAGTACCCTTATACTTTGTACTTTCTTTTTCATTTTGTATTAAAGCACAGATTTAAGTTGGAATGGCAGTCACAGTGCTAGTGAAAGAAAAGAAATGACATGTTAGTAAGCACTAGCAGTCAGTACAGCCTTTATTTCTTAATCTATGGTAGTAAATACTTGTTGCTCTAATTCTATAGACTGGTTGTAGAATGGCATAGGTTCACGAGCTTGAGTTTTCTTTTATAATCTAGAAATCCTGAAATATGAAAAAACGCGCTGTAGAGACATGGAATGCTACATGTTTTTTATAACAGAGAAGAACTTATTTCAATTCCACTGCACATTTTGTCTGTCTCCTACTGAGTGTGCAGCTAGGACACAGTTACAAGGAGGTTTTTTAACCTTGATTCTTGATGACTGCAAATCAAATCAGAGTCCATTTCATTATTACTGCTAACTGACAGCTTCATGTGTGATTTGGTGATATCCAATACTGGATATCTCTCGATCCATTTGTCAATCCATTGATTCTGTTATTGCTTTTCCCAGGAGAGAGCCCCCGTGGCTGAAAGAAGAGGAGTAGAGTTGGGATAAGCAGAGTTTAGAAAAGTTTACATTCTGCTTCTGTCCAAGAGTATGAATCTCCTCAACACGAGTATCTAAGTACCTCAGCAATGGGATCATGGCTCATCCTATGCCATAGAGTGTTCAGGGCGTTTCTCAATTGAAAACTTCTATGTAGAGCCATTCCTAAGCGCTGAATGTTTTGCAAGGCTACTTTGGTCTTGTGCTTCATACAGGAAATTAAATAGGTAATGTGGAAGGAAATGTGAACGTTAGAGCAGCAGTTTGTTATTTGGGAGACCGCTGGCTTGACTTTTCCTTGAGCAGCTAGCAATAGGTGTTGCCATGTAATCACAGGATAATGTGCAGTGTGGTTGGATACATTCTGAAATGCTTGAATTCTGATTCAGAAGCCTAAATTGTGGTTGCGACTGTGCTTTTGCTAGTGTAGGGCATGAACTCAGTTCCAACAAAATCCCTTCTTGAAAGTTTCCAGCCCATCTTAGATTTTATGTAGCTCCATTTAAAAACGATTTGTTAACGTACAGAACTCTGGGGAAACAGTGCTTGATCTTTTTTTTTTTAGTTCTTCATGTGATTGGATTCCAGAATTAAAAGTGGGTTGAACAAGTTTGGTGGGTTATTTCTTACTGATGAGTGAAGAAACATTTTATAACTTGGCAGTTTATTTTACCGTTTATATTTTTGGTGCCCTCCCATGTAATACAGGCTCATGTATTACTCATCCATCCTTTTTTCCCCTCCACTGTTTTTTTTGTTACAATATCCCAAATTGTCTGAATTGAAGAGTTCCAGATAAAATTCTATTTTGGTGCAGGAAGTTTTTCTGTTGACTGAAATAATATTTACTTGTATTTTCTAATGTCAAATCAATGTTCAAGTTATTACATGTCATTAGGGCAAATAATTCTGTTTTGTAAAATAACAGAAGTCCCACATGGTGGTAGTTATGGAAGTTAACACTTTTTCCCCAACTGTGGGAGTGCTAGCATCTTTGAGAGATTCCAATTTTGGTTCTTATTTATGCTTGACATTCAATGTACTTGACATTCTGATTATTTTACACCTACGTAATTTCTTATAGCTCAAGGGATAATGACAATATTTTAAACAGTTGTGAAGTGTAGCTGTATATTATTAAGCAGATGCCACACTACAAATGGAAGGGAAAAAAAGACGCCTAAAATAGTTCTGGAATCATTTTCTTGTGTATCTTCGGGTCAGCTGGGGGAGTTCATCATCTTGTTTAGCTGTGCAACTTGGTTATCTCTTTAGTTGCAAGGCAGATTAAGCACTACCAAAATAATTTCATTTTATTTGCTTATGTGTGTATAAATGTTTGTAGAAAATATATAATGGTGGGTTGTGTGCTCACCTTGTGCCCTTTGTGGTCTGGTGCATTACAGAACTAATCTCTGAGCAGCTTCTCAGACCTTACATTTTCCTAAAGTTTGGATTAAAATGACAAAGTAAAACGTTTCGTATGTAAAATTAAGATGATTAAACTGAGCTTCATCTGTGTGCGACACATACTCTTGTGATGGTAGTTCTTAAAAGTAGCTATTGTATCTCTTGGTTTATAGGTAATTAGGGTATAATGTGAGGAATTAAAATATGATAGGAAGAACAATTCTGCTGATTAGAGGTATATTTCATGTCATATTTTTTCCTTGCAAAATAACTTTATTATCAATCTTTGAGTTATATTTTTGTGTAACTGTAGAGATCTGTGCAGTCACAAAAGATTTTAGGCCCTTTCAGAAAGGTAAAATCAGTCTTGGGGACAATACTAGCAGGAGGAAAACGGTCAAAAGATGAAGCTCCTTACAGAAGTACAGCTGTTGGTCACAATTCCCTCTTTCATCTAAGGGGAATTCTGTGTTGAATTTAACTAACGAAATTGTAAGTAAATTGGCTACACAAAGTGTGAAGAAGCAATGTTAAAACACTTTGCCTTATGGAGCTGTGCAAGGAGGCTTTAAGCACTGAGCCAAGTCCTCGCAAAACATTTGTTCCCCAGCCAGGGGTCCTTGGAGCAGCGCTTAGAGTGCATTACCGGAATGGTTTGGTTGTTTTTTAGTTCTTTATTTTGCAATCTTGCCACCTGGTGGTATACTCTGGCAGTAAGGGCTTGGCTAGAAACCTGTCCCTAATAGTTGTATACTTTGGTAGGCAAAGACTTTTACATCTGGGTTGTAATTAAGTTCTTGGATTTTAGCTTGCCCATTCAGTGTGTTCTTTCATTTCAGCTCTTTCCGTCTTTGTTGCTGTAATGGCAAAGTGGTTTCTGAAAATTTGCTGAGAAAAAGGACAAAGCACTTACTGGAAAAATTCACTGTGCACAAAACCAAAGGAGTTATTTGGAGTTTAAAAAATTACTAAAATATGCACACAGATATTTATCTCAAGAGTGCAGTGAGATTCCAAAGTGGTTGAAGTTTGGGATTTCTCCCCTCATTACTGTCTCCATGTTAAGTGACAGGTGCCATATAAGGTCTCTGAATGTCTTTTCGTTACATATATCTGTTTTCCATCCCACTCTCATTTTTACAGACGCAAGGCAAGAGAAAATCTAGAAACCCTGTGTGGTTCTGGAACATCTCATCCTGGCACACTGCGAACCTTAATCTTCAAATTAAAATTAGATATAGTTTTAAAAATAATAGTGTCCATGTCCTGGAATTCACTATTATATTAACTATATTAAACAAAACTCACCTAGAACACATAAGAGCTGTTGTTATTCCTGAAATAAGTCATGCAAATTGAAGCAGTATGAAAGTTGAATATATTTAGATGGTTTATACTTTCACGTAGGCTTAAGGTGAAGACTTTGAAATGAATGATCTTTAAACACAGGAGCAGAGCCCTGAGGAAGCTCGCTCTGTGCTGCTAATCCAAGGTGAAGCAGGTGTGGTGTTCCTGGTGTTGTGTGGGGAGATCTTTGTGGATAATAAAAGATGTTCCGCGAAGAGTTCAAAGGGCGTTAACAACCCAGTGTTTGCAAATGGAATGTTTTTAAACCTGTCTTTATGGTGTGCTGTTGTAATGTTTGCATACAGAACACCCGCGTCCAGCAGGACCTTTTCCTTGCAGAATGCTGCCTGTGATCTTAATATGCCTTCTTGAGTGTCTGTTTGCATGTCAGAACGTCGTTCATTCAAAATGATTTCAACATACAGACTTAAAGGTCCCTAAGCTTTGCACTTCCAGCTTTTTATGTCCTGCACAGATAAGGAGTAGACTGTCTCTTCCTTCTGCTGCCCGCTGCCCACCTCTTCTGCTCTCACATCTCACACACATGCAGACAGCCCCTGTCAGATGTGCATGGGGTTCCCTCTGCTCTGGCAGCCCGCAGCCAGCCTGTCATCCTCTGCAGCTGCTCCCCTGTATCATCTCACACCACACACAAAAAAATCTCTTCTGCATTTTCTCTTCCTCCTCCTCTCATGTACAGGGCAGAGCAGCAGACACTGAAGCTGTTGTGATGAGTGCTGTCTGTTTTTCTTGCTGTTTGCCTTTTTCTTCTCATCTGCTTGTTGGCTTTCAGCTTCCCTTCCCACTTGCAGCCCTTTATCCTCACCCTCCTGGTTAACGTTCTGCATTCGCCCTGTGAATGCTGACTATTAATCTCAAAGGGTAGCTGTTCTGGAGCAGCTGTGCAGCTTGAAGTGCTGCAGGTTCAGATTTGACTTTTTCAGTATGCTATCTGTTTTTGAAAATGATGAAAATACAACCAGTTGAAAGTCTTCAAAGGATTGTGTGCACTGAAAGTACTGCTTATTTATGTATATGAGACTAAGGTAACAGCACTGATAGCTGGCTAAGATTGAGAGATGGTTGGGGCTGAGCTCGTTGTTCTGTGCTCTTCGTGTAGACTGTGGGTCACTGAACTTTTTTTATCATATTATTTTACTGGGTTATGTCTGTAAGTATTTATGAAACTGGATATTTGCTTTAGTTCAGTTTGTCCTGTGGGGTATCCTTTAGATCAGTCCACTTGTTTGTTCTAATAATTTGCTTAATTCTCTGAGGTTTGTCAAGTCTAGTTACCTCTTTTCTTTTTTTCTGTTTTGAAATCAAGGCTGATTGATCAACTCAAGAAGACCCAGCTGGTTTTGTGACTCGGAACCCAGTTTGTGACACGCTCTTGCATTTTAAGAAGACAACAGTACCGTACGTAGTTTTTCTTTCTCCAAAAACTCAAAAATAACTTGTAACATAATAGAAAGCCTAGAGAATTGAAAAAGAAAATTCCTGAAGAGTTTAACTCATTGAAAGGTTGTGACTTTGAGTTTAATGTCACCAGCCAAGAAAGTAGAAGTGCTCTGTTTGCTTTACAGTAATACCAATCAGAGATTCCTTCCATGTAACAATGCTACTTTAGGATTTCAGATCATCTAAGGGGAGCTTCCCTTTTTTTGCAAGATCAATCCACTTTCTCTTTACACTGAGTTGTGTAAAGTGTGGGATTAGAGACTGTGACAAATGTATTGCAGCACTTGACTGCATTGAAGATGGATTATGTAATGGCTGCTGCTGAAATGAAACACAAGGCTGGGAATGTAAAGCAAGTGCAGAGATTGCAGTGCCACTTAATGACACTTACACAAAGGTAGCTTCAGTAGAGCTTGTCTTTCCTCCCTGTTTCTCTCCCAGAACCCCAAGACTTTGTATTAAGTAATGGTTCCTTTCTTAATTTAGTATTTTTCCACACTGAAAATGTCATTCTTTATAAGAATGCATCGTCTTAACTGCAAAAGAAAATCACACATGTAAAGTGTTGGCCTCACAATCAATAATTCAAACATCAGAAGACATAAATGAAAGTCAGGTAGTGTGGGTTGGATGAGCTTCATAAACGTGTTAAAATGAAGTTGCCCAGCTTGCTCTGTGAATGGATAAAAGTTCCATAATTTTCAAAGTGAAAGGAGAAGGCAGGTATTTGTTCTGGACTTTCTGTTGAACCATTGAATAAATGGTTGAAACGTATTGCAAGTAGTACTGTAAGCATACAATCTGCAGTACTGTTCAGTACTTCTAGGTTTTGTAACCAAGCAGGGAAAATAAGGGAAAATACTCAAATTTTTATAGAAAAGGGGAAATAGCATTCGCTATCTACTTAATGAACTCTTGGCTTAGGAAATAGTAGAACGATTAAAGAAAAAATAATGAGCATTTACAACTAAATAAGAGTTTTATACAAAACATATGAGATGACTTTGTGTTGAAGATTACAAGATGTCTGAACAAATTTGCTTTATGACTACAGTAAATATATTTCCAGTGTGGCAGTGAGATTGATAAGCATGTTGCTAGGAGAAAAAAAAGAAGATCACATTTGCTCTTTTTCTAATACATAAATGTAGGAAACTTAGAATACTCCATCTCACTATCCTGCTGTAGTTCTGAGCATCTTTTTCTGTCTTTAGAACACTTCCTCCACTAAGGGATGTGCGGATTTAAAGCTTGATGTAGGAAAACACAAAGAAATGAATAACATCAGCATGGAAAAAAAAAGGGCTTTTTAAGTTTTCTATAAGTGATGGTGGAAGTTTTCCATAGCATAGAGCTTAAGATCTGTATAAGTGCTGCAAAGTGCTGCACAAGAGCTAGCTTCAATAGATTATTTATTTGTTTTTATAATGTAGATTTAAAAAGCTGGAAGTAAATTCTGTGACAAAACATTGCAGTGTTATGCAAACTAACACTTGAACAACTTTATTCAAAATCATAATGTTTATATGGATATAAATTATTTAGGGTTCATTCGTCTCAAATTTCCAGTTGAATTGCTGCTAGGATGGTAGTGTGTATATGTAGTTCTCACACACATGTAGATGTTCATTGATGGGCTCTTTAACTGACAATCAGAGTGAAAATACAGCCATAATGCAATGGCAGTTGTAACATTATTTAGTCAGTGTGGTGTTTTAAGCGTTGCATTTTACTGACATCACTTCTTTTGGATTCCAGTCGTTTGTCACTATTGCTTCAGTGAAGGATTTTAGTGGGTGCTGTAAGCTGTGCAGGCCAAATATTGTGCTGGTCTTTCAAAATCCTGGAGATTGAAGCAATACTGTTTTCGAAAACTCATAAAACAAATAATCTGCAATCCTTGAATGTCAGATAGTTAAATATCTGTAACAGACTAAAAAGGTAAGACAGATTTACTAGCTGGGGAACTTTCTTAGCTGTTCAGATATTTAAAATAGGTCTTACCCATGAGGATTTTCTTTATTTCTTTAGGAAAAAAAAAAAAAGCCCTTCAATGTTGTTTTTCCTTACAATATTTTATATACAACATAATGTGTGTGTGCATATTACAAACAATTTATATATTACTATATACAATGGTTTTCAATTATGTCGTGGAAGGCAAGCAGCCATGCACAGTCACACAACTTCTGTGTGTGCTTCTGTAGTTAAGAAAAATAGAAGATCAAAAATATTCCTAACAAATGCTTTGTCTTAAGCCTCTCAAATAACACTGTTGGAGGGACAATGGGTTTATAATCTAACAATACTTGGATTTCACTATTGTTAACTTTCCTCATAGCTGGAACTGAGGTTGCATTTCCATAAAGGTTTGTTGCCACTGATGAATGTGTGCATGGCACCTGTTATGGTGTGCTAAGTGTCAAGAGAAGCTTCCAGTAACGTTGACTGGGTGGCAATGCTAATTTGTGTGGGAGATTTTATCTGGTGAGACCACAAGTTCCTAAGGATTATTTCTTTTTCATTAAAGTCACAAAGGTGATTGCAGCTGTTGTCCTCTCTGAAAACATATTCCCAATATGAAATCATATATGGTTTTATTGTTCGTTAAGGGAGACGCTTTAGGCTGCTGTGTTGTTTCTATACTTATTAGAAATTAACTGCCAGTTATAATTGAGAATGAAGAAGCTGGAGAAATGGCTTCATCTTCAGCACCAGCTGCAGCCATGCCTGCATTTCTCTGTATGTGTACTGGGGAAGTGAATGATACTCTTGGCTGTTCAAGAAATGACCATGATCTTTTGCTTTTCTAACTTATTCTGTCTACACTGGAGGAAAATAACTCTAACATCAAAACATGTTATTCCTAGTCTTATTTTATTGTATTCAGCATGGCTGTGATGGACACAAATTGTACGTCAGCTCACCCCTAGTGATCATATATGTGCCAACAAAATTAATTTCTTAGGTTTGATGTCAGATAGTCCTGTCCATCTGTTTCTGTGTTACATTTCCTGGGAGCACATCCTGTGTTTTCAAGGGGAAGAGGAATATATTCTATTTTCTTTCATTTTTTCAGATGCCAGTGTGGTGTCATTGATTCACAATGTGCAAAAGTAGAGCGTTTCTCTGTCTGCAAACACCTCCACAGTTATCTTACTTTGTTGTACAGCTAGGTTAAAAATGCCAGTATGGGTGCATGTATTTCAACTCTCTCCCAAACTCTGGAAACCTGATCTCCTTTAAATATGTTTCTCCGATTATTTGAAGTCAATTCCATTTTATAATCATACCATCAACGCTTCATTTCAAATCTGTTATTTTGAGAGGTTTGTAGTGGTAACTGCAACACAACTATATTCAGTGAGAGGATATCAGAAGAGAGTTTCTAGTTCTGTCACAGGGCTTCTGCTCAGTAAGTCTTGCAGTGGTTGGGGTCATGTACCCACATATCTTCCTTCTCTGGGTAAACACAGCATCTTCTGGAGAGGAGCTGCAGATGGCCGGGTTCTGTGCTGACCTGGAAGCAATGATTGCTAATACTGAGAAATTGCTTGCAGTCAGTTAACAGACAACCATCGATATACAAAAATGTGCAATTCACATCTGCTATTTGTTGCTTTAGATTTTTTTTTTTTTTCTTGGCAGACTTCTTCATCCTACAGATTTTGTAAGTGTATTACTAGATTTCCACTGACTTCTGTCTCTTTCTAGAGCTCTCAGAGCCCAGGTTAATGCTTTTTACTCGTTTCCTTTCTATACAAAGCATTCAAACGTATTTCCTTAATGTGACACCACAGAGCGCTGAGTACAATTCAAATGCTAATACGTAGAAACGAAATGTCACAAAGGAGATGTGTTAACGTTTGTCTTTATTCACTGTTTCAAATGCTATGTGCCAAATCTTGCTTGACACATATAACATGCTACACTTACTCCTTAAAGGCTGGGTAAATGCCTTTCTGAAGGTAAAAATCCTTTTTGCATTTTTTAATTCTTTTGATCTTACAGAAGAGCGAATGTTTCCTTTCACGACCCTGCCTGAGCCTACTTTGCTGATTCGTCCGCTTTCTCACTGATTCCTGTGTTAAATTTCCCTTTTTCAGGGAGAAACTGCCAAGTGAATGCATCCCGCAGAGGCAGGAATCCAGCCCCCTCCCACCTCCAGCCGGTTCTATTAAGGCACAGGAGTGTCTGCTCAGTGATTTTGGTGCTCTTTGTCAGCCTGCCCTGTAAGTTTAGCCCCTGGTTGAGGTCAGGTTTAGCTCATTTTAAACAAAACCACAGTTCACTTATTTCTTGTTATTAATAGAATGTATGTTTGCTGGTGTATCTCGTTAACCTGCTTCAAATTTTCAGCGTGTGTTTTGCCTGCTATTATCCTGATAGAGTTCCATTCACTTCATTCAGTTGTGCAAAGTGGAAAAAATCTCAGTTTGCTTTCAGTCTGATCTAATCATCTTCTATTGAAATCCTATCAATTTTTCCCTTGGAGAGTTCATCAAAGCCAGTAATATTACTATCATCCTTGAATCGCTTTTTGGACCTTGCCAATTTTTTGCAGGCTTGCGTCATCCACTGCACTCCCCAAATCTCTTTGCCCAAGGTGGCAGAAAGCAGAAGGACTGGGTGGGCAGCAGGGCCACGCTTTCCTGTGTCAGGCTCCTGATGTCTGTGCACCTTGCTGCCTTTGCAGCACCCTGAGATACAGGCTTTATACCTCAGTGGTTCTCAATTGCGTTCTTGGCACTGCTGTTCTGGTGGGCCGAGTGACTTATTCTTAGGCCTGGTTTGAGATTTCTCAGTAATCTTCCTCTGCAGATGTCAGTGCTTCAGTGCTGAGTGAAGTGATGCTTTGCTTTTTATGTATGCAAGCTACACACGGTCTGCAGCCAGCTACTTAAGCTTAAAAATATTTAAGAGCATGTTTCCATGCAAGGTCTTACAGAAATGCGAGCTTATTACTTATTGCTTTCCCTTGATTCTTGGGAAAGATTTTTGGAGAGTGTTTTGAGGAGGTTTTTTTTGGTCCTGTCACTACTTCTCCTTTGTGCTCGTATTAATTTTCTTTCTTTGCTTGAGCCCTGTAACACTTGTTATCAGAAGCTGCAATTTCCTGCCACCTGTGGTGGAATGTATTTCTTCATTATGAGCTTTTTTGCTGCTTACTCAAGTTTTAGTTTTGATTAGCTGCTATGGAATTTCTACATATCATTTGCGTGTCCTGCAAAGCTTAATCATCTGATAGCTGTGCAAATTGCTGCCTCTAGCTGATTTTACCTCGGCCCGAATTGCTCTGTGCCAGATCCTGGTACCAGCACTGAGCTGCTATGAAGTTAAGTGCAAGAGAATGTGTTGGAAAACTTTTTCATGTATTTTTTAATTCCCTGGAAATGAAAGAGCACTGCAAATGCTGAGGCGCAGTTCAAAGTGATTTATCTGAATGGAGGTGGAATTTAGAAGAGATTACAGCTTTTTATTCAGAATGTGATCAACATTTCCTTAATGTCATTTTCTGCACCATTTTATTTAGAACCTTAGAGATTTTTTAAGAAGAATGTAAGCAGAGGTTTACCTCTACCTGTTAAATTTTCATAGAAATGGACTCGATGATCTCTGGAGGTCCCTTCCAACCCCTACAATTCTGTGATTCTGTGACTACTGTGACCAGATCAGAAGAGAACCACGAATTGCACCAACTGTTGGCTTGTAAATGCAAATATTTATTTTACTGTTGTCCTTCAAATGATTTTTTTCCACCTCCAATTTAAAAACAGAACTGTGTTTGTTTCACAGGGACAGCTTTCCAGCACCTCATTTGTATCAACTAGTTTCTTCTCTCCATCACTATCATCTGGAACAGGGATTAAGACCATATTAGTGTGATAAGAAGAAGCATATGTGTATATGGGAGGCACTTGTAAATTGTACTGGATTTTCAGCATGAAAAAAAAGAACTTAGCAACAGCAGATGTATAGCTTGAAAACTGTAGGAGGAGGGAGAAGAAATGGGTTTCATTCTCTGTGCTGAATTCTGCTGCAGCCGCTGGCATGAGCAGTGTACTGGAGATGAGCTGGTAGCATTGGTAAAACTGCTGCTGTCTGGCATGCAGTAATTCAACTGCTATTTGTCAGTGAGGTTATTGGCAAGTAATGCTATTTAAAAAAAGAAAACAACACAAAGAGAACAAAGAATAATTTCCTATTTGTTCTTTATTTTCTTCCTTACTCCTTCTAATCAGACCTTAGCCCCTGAGGTATAAATTATAACTTGATGGGTGATGAGTCCATATAGGCATTATAAACTGCTTCTGCTAGGTATTTCTGGAAGAGTCATCAGCAGTATTCAAAAGGCTGTAAGAATGATTCTGATGGAAGGGCCTCTTCTTCTCCCTGTAATTCTTGTTACTTTCAGCCTCACTCCCATGAGCTGGGGCTACTCCCTTGCTTTTAATATTTATATTTTATTATTATTTTTTTTGTCAAACCTCATTCTGAGGAATTCTTCCTTTTCCCACCATCCCACAGGTCCCCAGAGACATGGCACACAGCCTTGCTGGAGTAGCATGATTCACTACTGTAAAGGTTCCTGTCATCCTTGCTTGAGAAACTGCACTGAAATGGAGATGAAATCTGTGCCCAATGGGCATGGACATAACTTTCAACAACTAAACTCTTTCTTCTGTTTCCTCCCTTACTTCTTTTAGCGTGTGCACATTTCTACTTGTCAGTGTGCTTTATGGATGAAATAAAAATAAAGCTTTGCAAGGTGGTGTGATTGTGGGTGGTGCTGGATCTTCATTTTTCACATAAGCTTTTCTCTAAATCCTATGAAGCAGCATTTCTGAAAATAAGCAAGTAATTATATCCAGCTCCTGTCAAGGGTTAATACAGATCCTTTCCTTATGCAAGGACTTTGAGTAGCAGGGGAACTTCTTGTTCCTGTAACCAGTTCACAATAATAGACTTTCTGGGGCATTTGAATCAGAGTTTATGATAGTCCTGAATGGCTCATCAGTCATCATCAGAGAAGCACTGAAATTTGAAGAGAGATTTAATAAAGTTTGGTTGGTGGATTGTGTGGGTTGGTGGGGTTGTCTTTAAGCAAACAGGCAACAACTTGTGGTTGCTGAAAAGTGTGCTAAAAGAGCAGTTAAGGACATCACTGCAGAAGAAGGCATGCGTATGTCCAGGCTAATGGTCATGGAAGAGTCTTGCAGTGATTGGTCATTTTATGCAATTGTGGGGAAAAAAGAAATAGGAAGGAAAGAAGAAAAAAAAAAAGATGCTGCAAGCACAATTGTTTTACTGAGCACTTTAGTATGGAATTAAGGGATAGTAAATTGAGATTTACAGCAGCTAAAGTGGAGGAGGTTGCAATAGTTAAGACTTAAGATTATTAAGGATAAGAGAATTTTCTATCATGGCTTCTTGGAATTTGAATTAATTTTGAGGAAATACACACTAATAAAATGAAAAGTTAAGGAAAAGAAGAAAGGAGAGAAAAAAAAAAAAAAGCCCTGCAAGCCCAAAGAATCATTTTATTGCAATTTGTAAGTGAAAGAATGGCAGAAATAGAACATTCTCTGAAATGATGAGAAACATTTAGAATATTGAGCATGTAAAGTGAACTTTATGCTTCTTCCTTGCTTTTTCCCCCACACATGCATACATGTGAATACACATGGGCGTTTACGTGCCTGTTCATTTGTGCATTTGTGTAGTTCATCAGCAGCTGAGATCTAGTAAGATTGAAAACTTGCTTAAGAAAAGCTCTAGTTGTCTTCCATCTGGAGTCTCATTTTAATCCTGTGATTTGCTGCGTAAGTCTTGACCCTTATGGTAGCACTTGCTTTTTTCTTCCTAAACTTCGTGTGCTACAAGGCTTTCATTCATTCTATTTTCAAATTTGGATAAGATAAGTAATGTTCATACTATACATTAAAAAAAAGGATAACTTAAATATCTATTTTTAAGTTGTTTTGTGTTTACATAATGCTGTCTCTTGTTATAAGGCATCTCCAAACTTTTTGCACTGGCAGTTTGATCGTTTTTACAAGAAGTTGGAAACTGCTATGGATGATTCATTTTGAACTGCTATTTTGGTGGTGCACACATCGTCTTAGATACAGCTTTACATAAAACGGATGGGAAAATGCTAGTTTATATACCTCCTCCACCTATCTATTTAAATGAAAATCCATAAAACTTGATCAGGGGTCTGTCATTTGGATTTATTTAGGAAGAGCAGACTTTGAATACAGTAGGGAAAAATTGAGGAGAGAGCTCAGGAGTGTGAGTGGTGATCAGCTAACCGTGAAATGGAGGAAATGCTGTGCATTGTGCCAGAACTCACCCTTGGCTTTAAGCCTCAGATGTTTGTCATGTCTGAAGATAAAACATTCTAAACCTACTAAAACAAAAATAAAGATAATGCAACGAGGCAAGAGAGAAGATCTGCTTATGTTCTCACACTTTTTGGGGGAATAAGTGGAAAAAAAAGTCAGGGAAAAGACTGATTCTTCCTTTGTGTTCATGGAGGAGGGCTTTATGGGGCTGAGAAGTCAATCAGAAAAGCTGGACTTACTAGAAAATGGGCCTTTTTAAGGAAATGTACATCTTGCACTGGTTAGCAGTCCTTTTTGTTATTGCAGGCACTATCTGCAAATTGAAGCTGTGTGTAAAACTTCAATGTCACAATGAAATTAAAATACAGTGATGGTAATAGATATTACTAAAATACATGAACACTAAGATGTGTTTTCCCGTTGATATGCATTAAAAATAAAGTGGCATGTTAAAAAAAAAAAAAGTTTATTTCAGCTTTGTATGAAAAATGGATTTAATGAAACTTCTGTTTCTTTGGATTTTGTTCCTCATTGGTTAGCAAGAAATAATCCAAATTTCTCTATGCAGAAAGAAGTGGTGTTCAAAAAATATTATTTCAGTAAGCAGTTAATTGGCTTTTTCATTCAGACTATGAGTGTTTTATATTAAGGATTTAGTTTAATCTCTCTTGAACTCTCTTTTTCTGTTTACTTACAGTCTGTGGATAGGATTCAATCCAGGCAAAAGTCCTGGTGAAATACATGAAGTAAATGCATTTGCACAGTTTGACCAGTCAGTTATGAATATTCACTTTCTTGTGAACAGATGGTAGCTCCAATTCTGTGCAGAAATATTGTCGTAAGTACTTCCTTTAGTACTTTTTGTATTCCAGTTCTTTTCACAGTTGTTCTTCCATTCAAGACATATTTGTTGTAGTAAATATGTATTCTGACAAAATATTTAAAGGTGAACAAAGAGGGAGGGAGCTCAGAGAAGTGAATAACTCTTTTTCTTTGTGCTGTGATAGTGACTGGTATACTCAGTGTGTTCCTGTGTTTTGAATACTGATACATACATGCAGTCTAAATAGGTGAAAGAAGGTTTGGATTTAGAAAAATACAAGTTTCCACGTTGTTCCTGCGCTGTTTCTTCTGCAGAATCGTATTTTGCAACATTTGATTTCTTGGTTTAAAATGCAATTTACAAAAATGCCCAGGAGACTTTGTTAAAAAAAATTAAATCATCTGTTTACCAGTGGAAGCAGTATGTAAAATAAGCTGTAAAGACACCTTGAAGTCACTGCATTGCAGGTGGAATTGGAGATACCACGGTGAGTGGTGGTGGAGAGTAGCTGGATCTGCAAAGGCTGCTCTTTCCATTCAAGGTGGGCAGGTTTTTTCAGTATTCAAGTATTCCATGCATGGCATGGGGTTGGACTAGTGACATTTAAGGGTCCCTTCTAACTCAAACAATTCTATGATTCAGTGATTAAATACCATACCTCTTAATTCCCCATCACACTGAGGATAGCTAACCAAAGCTACTTAATCTGAGGAAAAAAGATTTGTGCCAGGACTTCTCAGTCTTTTTCTCCATGTAGTAAGTATGCAAATATTCTGCTGTTTTTCAACCCTTGATTTATAAATAAACTTGTTAGGTTCTGCTATAAAGTAGGCTGTAGTTTGGTGCAGGATTTATGTTGCTCTGTGAATTTTGAAAGCTAAGACAATGTTATTGACCACAACACCACTTGAAGACCTTGAGTAACTCAGAAATCTAGGATTTAACAGCTCTTTCCAATAGTTCCTTGAAATTCCATTTTTGTAATTTTTGCCTATCTAAAATAGCTTTTTAATTCATATTCAAAAATAAAAGAAAGTTACCTTAGAAGAATTTCTTAATGTTTTATGCAGAGTGCTTTATGGAGAGAACTCCTGTTGCGAAATGATCTGCATCTTTTACTGCAGCTGATCTGAAAGAGCAAGAGGTCAAACATCTTCTAATTGTTGTTGAAATCTGTATGTTAGCACAGAGCATTTTAGAAAGACTGTTTGGGACTCTGTAGAAGTTGCATTTTTCTTTTGATTTCAGTCTTGTACCTGGAAAGGATTAGAGGACATTCATTTGAGTCGATGGTCAAATAGGAAATATTTTTAGAATGTAGGATGCAGATCAGGAAATATACGCACTCAGATGAATATATGGTATAAGAAAGCTTTTATAAAAAGCTCCATTATTTTATGTGGATGATATGGGAAAAAAATTAGCAAATTTCCTTTTCTCTGCTGCACCAAGCTATATTTACTACTGGTTTTTTAGTGCAAGGTTATTGGTGACCTTGTTTCCTGCTGATATCTTAAAAGCAAAGTTTCTTCTAAAGAAAGGCATAATTTCCTAGAAAGTAATAGTTAGCCATTGATTTACTTACTCATTCTTTGTCACCTATTATTTTTCCAGAAGAGCTCTCTGTTGATTATGGCCTTGAAAAATGACAGATAAATGTTAGTATTTCAGGAATTGGGGCTGGCTGTTACTCAGTCTTGTATTTTGTGACACGTGCATATATACATGGTATTCTTTAGTTCAGTTTAAAGCAGTTGTCTTTGAACAGTCCCAACTCAGATGCAGGAGAAACTTTGAAAGCTCCTTCCTACTCTTGCTTAGAGTAGTTCTTGTGTTCCTCCTGCACAAGGGAGGAAACGGAGAGACCTGAGAAAACTTTGCCTCTACTCAGCAGAGGCAGAGCAAAGCAGGTTTCACAGAAAGGTGATGTTGCCTGGCTGCAAGGTACACCCAGAATTAGCCACAGAATGAGCTAGTCACAAGAGCAGACCCACAATCAGACCCAGATATCAGCCTCCTGCTTTGCCTTGCCCCAGACGAAGAGCTTTGCATGGCTGTGGGATGCAGTTGTGGGCAGGGAGCATCAAAACCAGGGCAGCCTGCTCCTTCCAAAGCAGCCACTTCAGCTCCCCAGAATGTAATAACCATGCTCCTGTTTAACTGCTAAGGTTTGTAAACACTGGTGGGCATTTCTTTGGCTTTTGGGAAAGTGTTTCCCTATCACTGGTATTAATGTAGCAATTTCAAATTTGGATTGTTTGGAATAGGATTCAGGCAACCTTTTTAGCAGCCTTGTTGGGAAACATGGCATTGTTTGCAACTGACCTGTTTTTTGTTTTTCTGCTTTCTTTTTTCAGCCAATCTAAACAGTGCTTATAAATGCATGGTGCAAAATACATGGCGTTGAGAAGAAATCTTAATAATGACTGTGAGCGTATGGCTTCATTAGTAGTACTAAATAAAAGATACTGAGATACTATTTGCCAAATAACTGCCCAGAAAACAGATCTGTAACTTCTGAGAAACACAGAAAATTTACTTTTTGTCACCTGTGCAAACCATAGAGCTTCCTGGGCTGAAGTGATTTATGTTTGATGTTTCATGGTAAATGTGCACTCCACGTAGATGTTCTCCACTGGGACATTACAGTTCAATATAATAGCTTGAATTTGGAGAGACATTGTGGTAAGTTAAGAATCACTGTCAATAGAATAATTACCTCCTTGTGGAAAGTAATTATTTACCTTGTCATGTCTGTAAGGATTGATGGGCTTGGTGGGCAAGAGCATGTCCATCAGGCTGCTGCTGCATCTCAGCACCAGCTGATGTAAAAGCCTTTCTGGTTTCAAGTCCGATCCAGTCATGCTCTCATTCTTGCCTTGCACTCAGCTTTGAGCTGCTGTGAATTCTTTTTTGGGGGGCACATGAGCTCTACAAATAATCTGATGGGTGTGGGCTGCAAGGAAGTCCCAACTCTGGGGTGGAAGGAGCCTCTGAGCCACACAGATCTGACTGGGATTGGATGGAAAGTGGTGGGATATTGGGGGCCTGAAGGTCTGTTCCTCAATCACCTATCCAAAGTAAAAAAAAAAAAAACAACCCCAAAAAAACAGGATCAGAAGTTTCAGGTTTGTTTTTTTTTTTTTTAAAACTACTTGGAGTGGATTTGCTCCATTCTTTCCAGGGACGTTAGATTGTATGTAATTTTAACATATGGTTTGATACCTTATAGATGTTCTGTGCTTAATGCCCTTTTAACTACGTTTGAACTAAAGGGAAAATCTTATAACATCCTAGAATTAAAATTAAGATCCTTGAAAAAATACATGGAGACAAAATTAGAAAGTGAATCCTCTTTCTCCCTGCTGCTTCTTCCTTGCGTTTAACCCTATGGTGAGCTTTCTAGGGATTAAAAAAAAAAAGAGCAGAAACATTTTTTAATGGGATATAGGGAGGCTTGAAATAAATATTTAATAGATGCTATTCTCTGAAATGTCACTCACTGAGGTCAGAGCAGGCCCCGGTGGTTAAGCATGGGAAGCAGAGAGCCTGATGAAGGTACAAAGGGAGACGTGTGCTGCTCCCTGACAGCAGGCACTTGTTAGATCTGCTTGGCTGTACTCCACTCTGCAGCAAGTTTGCCAAGTAAAAAAGCAACTTAACATCAGAACTGAAATACTTAATGGTTTGTAAAATACTTTATGTTG